CATCCATCCAGTATTAGAGCTGTTTTGCTCAAACATTCAGGCAGTTTTAAAGGGATCCACGATGACTTTTAACATTGGACATCATTTGATAAACATTTACTTAAACTGTAAAAGAAAAACAGTAAAAATACTGTATTCTTTTTAGTTTTTATATATTAAAAATGTGTTCTCACATGGACTGCACCATTTTATTAATGCCACAAAGCATTTGTTGTTGACGTTCACTAGGTTTTCCGATGCAAGGCTGTGTAAGCTGTAATCTACCCTGATTTATCGTAGACAATGTCTGATGATCAGCCCTTTTAAATGAAACCAGAGCGCCTTGACAGACAGGAGAATGTAAAAATAACTCAGCCTGCAACTGAAAATGTGGATTGAGGACAACAGAGCTGCTTCATGGAAGGAGAACCTGAGCTTAACTTGGCCTGGCTAGACTATACTGCTGCCATATTAGCACGGTACTAACGTGAACAATCCATGCAGAAGCTCTGTTGTCCTCTATCAACATTTTCATTTGCAGGCTGTCATTTCTGATATGACTTTCTGAGAGTTTTGTTAAAATTCATGAGATATCTTGATAACAGACAGCCAAATCACACGCACACACACACACACACACACACACCCAGTGCTGGTTTGTATATCCCTGTGGGGACCGTGCATTGACTTCCATTCATTTTTTTGGAAATTTTGTAGCCTTACCCTGACAATTTACCCTAAAATTAACCTCACAGGTACCTATCTGACCCTAAAACTAACCTAAACTCCATTCACACCTTGGTCCTAAACCTAACCCMTCACCCGTAATTTGCATTTGGACTTRTGGGGACTGGCATTGGTCCCCACGATGCATGTTTGGTCCTCAYGAGGCTGCTTTTTCGGGAAAATTGTAATTTGAGCTCCTAGTGTGKTTTATTWATTTAACGGCTGTTACTTTTTTATGACAAAAAAAGTTCATAAYCTGATGCAACTAGACCACCAGCTCTTATGTCGCTCAAGTAGCTTCTGAACACTGTGTCACATTAACTTTATAAACTCTTATACAAGTCAGATTTGTGGTATGAACATAATTCTCTCTCATCTCGTTRCAGAACATTTTGCAACYCAAGAAAATTAAACCAAACTTTCACAGCAATCTTCTTAGAGATAATTTCATTTTGACCACTTTGGTAACTTCTCTGCAACCCCATAGAATGAACGTTTAATGATCATTTAATGCAATGATCATTTAATGCTCATTACTCTGCAGTAACTACTACTTCATTAGCCTTTCTTTACTGAAATAACAACAATGAAACTTTACTTCTTCTCATCTTTAAACTCCAGAGTGTAAACAAGAAAGACTRAGTTAGAAAGAGCACACAGGTTTATTCCTGCAGTCCAGGGACGCACAAACTGTTTACTCGTGCCTCAGTTCGTTGTTTGGCTCGTCCGCCGCGGAGCAGCAGCCTTTTAAAAGACGTAATTCAACAAATGACACAAGGAGAGCGGAGATTTTGGACGGGTCGACTCTTGGAAAGGTGGGGGGACGCGTAGAAGGGTAAGGGTRAATTTAACAAAATAAAACGTCTAGTTCAGCACAATAAATGGGTTTTTATTTGTATTTCACATCTGTTGATATGTTATGAGTCGTTATTGTTGCTATTTGAAACCCTTATTAACTTCCAAACACTTTTGTAGACGAAGGTATTACCCTCAAAATTTCAGTGTGGTACAGTCCTCGGCTCCTATTGGTATCCACACGGTCGGGAACTCCAGCACAACATGTTGGAGACCGCAGCTACCGAGCCGCTCTGTGCAGAGGTAACTTTTTAATCCCGGTTTTGTTGCCTTATCACTCAGGAGGAGGAGGTCGGGGAGAGAGAAAGGGACAAAAAGTCAGTCATGGTGTGAACTTGGAGTGGAAGCTGGAGCGTCTTCTCGCAAAAGAAGCCCGTCCGCGTTCATTTGTGCTGCGAGAGGGAGCCGAAGAGGAGGGGGGTTGAAGGGGGAAGAGAAGCCCGGAGAAGAGCGAGAAAAGTGGGGTACAAGATGCAGCTGGCCGCGGTGCTGCGGGGCGTCCTCCTCCTGGCAAGTTTGCTGCTCAGCCAGAGTCCAGGTAAGAAAAGGAGCKACAAGCGAACGGGCTTAAAGCCGCATGTGAGCGCGTTTTGGAAGAGGGGGAATGACCGGAGTTTTCTTTCTTTCTCTCTTTCTCTCTCGCTCTTTTTTTTCTTCTTATTTTTCTTTTTTGGTGTCTGAATTCCCTCCATGAGCTGTGTGAACTGGTTTAACTGGCACTCTCATACAGCTAAACCCAACAATAGCCAAGTTTACCCCTCATTTGAATTTATGAGGTTTAAATACAAACTGTGGTGGGACTTTATCATTTATTCTTCCTTTATATATATAAAAAAATTAAAGTCAGGTACTTAATCAATAATATCATTTTCAACACTGATACTAACTGTTTAGTWGTTTAGTGCACTAAATTGAGCATATCTCAATTAAGTGTTTTTGTATGTTTTTACAAAAAAAACAGCTTCACTCTATGGGTACATAGCTGTACATACAGTAGGCTGATTTTTACTTATAGCTGATGCAGGAATGAATTATTCAATCTTAAATCAGGGAGAGTCCTTTTTTCTTGCTTAATTAGCAAAGATGCTTGAAAAAGAGACTTTAAAAGTGTGAAATTGGTCTAGGATTATGTATATTTTATAAGATGATGAAAAGTTCTATGCACTTTGAAAATCATGTTAAATAAAGGATGAGTCGTTGGGATGTGGTTGTCAGGTTTGCGGATGCAGGATTTTTCCATTCAAACGAAGCCAGCTCTGTTTTGATTTGCAGGTGGACAGGGCTCTTTTTTTATTATTATTATTTAGGAGAACTCCCATTTTGTGCCTTCCCCCCACCACCCCAAACTTTCCTTCAGCAGCCATTTGTTGTAAATCTGAGGGTTTTCCACCACCCCCTTTCCCTATGCTTCWCCAACACCTTGTGTTTACAACATGTTCGAACAGCCGCTGGAATGCAAGGACTCGCCAAAGCTTTTTCTAAACACACACACACATAAAGGGGATAGCATTGTACACACATGGATGCCCGGTGCCTGGCTGTTTGACGTGTCATGAAAAGATTTACCCGACAGAACGGCAAAAAAATGACATCTGTAATTGTCTAGTCTGATCTCAAAAGGTTGGGTATGAGTGTGACATCTGCGAAATGTCACCAAAAGACTGTCTCTAAAATGTCAGACGGATATGAGTCAATATCCAACTCACAACAAAAGCCACAATATATGATCCACATCCTATTAACAGTTGAGCTTTTCATCCATTTAGTTGTAGACACCCGTCTCCCCACAACCTTCCCTCTTTATCTTGAGGTGGAGGGCCGTGCTGGTTTGATTAAAGGCTTGTTCTGTCATAAAGCAATTAAGTGTGGCTGGCCTCTGTCATGTTTTAAACCCATTTCTGTCTGTTGTGTTTGATTGTCTTGGGCCACTGTTGGCATTTTCAATTGAGGCGAAGAGCGTATAGTTTAAGTGATTTTTTTTTTTTTTTTTTGTGAGCTGATGCTGCTGAGAGATGTTGCTCATCTCCATTTTATAAATCGTGCTCTTTAAACTTGATGTTTCCTGCCACGTTATTCATTTTGACTGTTACTTTTATCCCCTGGGCCTTATTTTTCTAAGTCTTTAACCTCACAGCTGCATCCTTTTTGTAGTAAAGATTTTCTTTTCTTACTGTATAGAATATAGGAAAAATATTTTGTGAATTAATGTGAAAATAAGTGGCACCGTGAAGACTAGCTGCTGGTCCCATTTGATGGTGGATGGCCCGGGGCTATAATTTATTAAAATGCATTTTGTGTTTCTGTGGGTTTGATGTCTGATATGTGTGCGAGGTCAAGATGCCTTCCCAGCCAAGTGGCCTTGCAGTAATGGGCTGAGTTGGACGTATGGCACGTTGGCGTGTGTGTTTTCTCAGTTTAATGATGTGCTCTGGGACATCGTTACGCCTTACCCTCTTCTGCAGATTCCCACTGATACCCCCCCAATTTACTGATCAGCTATTGATTGGACTCGCAGGTTGACATCAATCTTTGTTATCGTCCCACTCAAAACATTGGTGCACACACTTTGCATTTCCAATAAAGCATCATGAAAAATATTTTTGATCCATTGGGGAAGGGAGTGAAATATTGAATTTACACAGCAGTGTTCTAAGAGTGCTTCTGTGTGATTCTGACAGCTGGGCAAACATCCAAACAACTTGCTTTTTGGGTGAGGGTGATTGTTTCTTGCAGCTGCTGCCAAACAAAGAAGAAAAAAAGAAAATAAAAGTTATTCTAAAATGTATGGCTTAAAAGAAGCAGTTACTGGAGGTACTGCTGTTTCTCTAAACAGAAAACTATCTTGAAATTGATCTTTGTGGCTAAACTTAAAGTCCATGCATCCATTGCATGAAATTTGAAGTTCACTGATTTTCTTTTTCTTTAACTGGGGGGGAAAGTATTTTCTGCAGAATTCAAAAACAAAAACCTTATGATAAATGACAGCGTCTTTACG